AGCCCCAAATTGAAAAACCCTAAAATTCATAAGAACCCAAAAATTAGGGAAAAAAAAACCCCAAAAATCATAAAATACCCTTGTTGCTTTGGTTGGTGTCGAGGAGGAGGACGGTTTGTGCCCGCCGGGGGTAGATTTCTTCTTTGCGCCGGCCATTGCTTCCCGCCGGAGGAGAGACAAACGCAACAGTGATGGACGACCGTCGGAGGAGAGACAAACGCAGCAACGATGGACGAGAGAGAGACCTCAAACGATCGGAGATAATCGACGATGCAATTTACCGATCGGGAGAGACGATTTGCATGCGATTTTTGAGAGAGAGAGAGAGGCGTTTTTGCGTTTCTTTTCAGAGAGAGAGACCGATTTTTTGAGAGAGAGAGAGCAGAATGATAATATCGAGAGAGAGAGAGAGAGACTTTCTTACTTTCAGACAAAATAAATCAAAAATAATAACATGTATATATATATGGGGAGTAAAAGGGAAAGAGAAATTAGAAATGGGGACTGAGGAAGAAAAAATTATGTACTAGGGACTGAGGAGGAAATGAATTAGAGAGATGGGGATTTATGAGGAATTTTCCGAAAATTTGGTAATTTTTGTCCCTATATTCCACGCAAATATAAAATAAATAAATAAATAAATAACCAATATTATTATTCCTTATAAAAAGGAACAGAAAACCAAAACTTTGTAAACACCTAAAGAAGCAGAAAGGGTTGATTCATTCAGCAGACCACAAAATCGTTCTCACATCACATTATTATCTCCTATGAAAAAGCAAAAGCGGTCGTCTGTTAATCACATCACATTACCTCCTATGAAAAAGAAAAAGCGGGCGGCTGTAACAGAGAAGACTCTGTCCACAGCCACTGACGACGACAGAATATCCCAACTGCCAATAACTATACTTCACCGCATACTCTGTTCCCTCTCCCAGAAAGAAGCTGTCCGGACTTGTGTACTCTCCAAACAATGGCGCCACGTAGGGTCAACCCGCCCCAACCTCAAGTTTTCCGAAGGATGGTTCGACAACACACAACAAAACTTTGTCTCTGTACTCGACCGAACCCTACAAAGATACTGTGATCAAAACCTCTCTATACACAAACTCTTTCTCAATTTATCGAGGCCCGACCCAGTCGACCGAACCCTCCAAGGATACCTTGATCAAAATCTCTCCATACACAAACTCCATCTCGTCATACCGAACCCCGACTCACGATGGGCCATCTCCCTTCTCGACCAATGGCTGCGGATAATAGCTGCATTCAACATAAAAGCGTTCAAACTTAACATTCCTTATGTTACTCCGGCCCTGCCCTTGGCAAACTTCTTTTCCGAGTCCCTCGAAGAACTACACCTGAGAAATTGCAAGCTGAGCCCAGTCGAGAGCATGCGATTCAAAAGTCTGCACACGCTCACCCTCGTGTGTGTCGAAGTTGATTGTGGGACTTTAGAGACAAAAACGTTGGGATGCCCTTTGCTTAGGCGCCTGGTCATTAATAATTGTTTAGAGTTGAGAAACATTTGGTTGAACGACGCGCCTGGGCTCAAGCACTTTGTATTGTCTGGTTACGAGAGGATTGAAGGGCGTAGCATCATAATCAATGTCCCGAATATCGAGACAATCTTTATCCATGGCCAATGGATTTGGTCTGATCACTACCGAAGCCCATTCTTGTTTTCTGGTCTTACGAGTTTGCATCTCGGTAATGTGATCCTGTCGAGCGAGTCAATCGACCTATTGTCGTTCGGCTGCCCGACTCTTGAGAGCTTGGTCATAGATAATTGCTCAGGTTTTGAGGAATTCCATCTTGCAAGTGATTCGGTCAAGCGGTTGACCATCTCGACAAGCGAAATATTGCTAAAAGGAGTTACGATTTATGCCCCAAACATTCTCAATTTTATGATCATTGCCCGTATTCCCCAGGCGCTGGACACATTCTCTTTCACGACCACTCCTTCCAAGGAGTGGGATTCAAATGTAATCCTCTATGTGTGGCAGGATGATCCCGATTTCAACTCTAATTCGTGGTTCCTTAAGCTGAGACGAATGCTCAAGCCACTAAGTGGGTCTCGGATTGATCTGATTCTGCATATGAACCATGGTCGTCTGGATGTGCCATGTGGTGCTGTTGAAGACAGTCATCTTCTCAGTGACGAGCCACCTGTGGTGGTGGAGAATTTGGAATTTACAACTTCTAATTGTCGCACGGAATCTTGGTACTCGGAGTTTACGAATGATTTGTTTCGTGTTTGTCGACCGACACACGTATGGGATCATAGGCTCACGAGAAAGTCGGAGGTGGCCAGGAATGAGATGCTCTCAGAGTTTCAGTTCAACATCTTGCTAGCAAACATGAGCCTCGGGGCCTTTTGGCGGCACGATCTGGAGCAAGTGCACGTGAATACCGTCGATGGGAAAATATGGCAGCTCGTGGAGTGGACAGACCTTTCAGAATTGCGAAAGAGGACGCATGACGGAGTAATATGCGTTAAGTTGAAATGGAGTGGTCAGAATTGTGAAACAGGACGTATGGACGGACCTTTCCGATATTCGTACACTCCAGTTGTAGGCCTAGGTCTATTTTCTTTCATTTCAGGAGGTACATATTATAAAAGAGAAATGCTATAGGTACATATAGTGTACATAAAGGTGTACATAACACTCACATTAAGTGAATCCTATAAAAAAAATAAAAAATCAAGTAAATCCACCCCATGTGATTGTTATGTACACCTTTATGTACATCTATTGCTTTGAAATATCAGGTTTTCTATCCCTCCATCCATTAAGCAAGGCAGTTGTCTTTGATATCATTGCTTTGAATCTTTCCAGATCTGAGGACTTGAATTGGTAATTTGAGTTTTATTTATTTGTTTTTTTTTTATTTATTTTTTTTATTTTTTTTTTGGTTTTAGTTTTGTCAGTCATAACCATGCATAGCAAATTAATCTGAGTGGAATAGTAAGTGATTTGATCTAAGTACAAACAAAAATAATCCCGGTGAAGCAAATTTGATTTTTAATGAGGAAGAGTGTTGAGCTTTTATATGTTCGTACATGTTTATATGTAAGAACATATAAACATGATTTTTAATGAGGAAGAGTGTTGAGCTTTTATCCCGTAACTCTAACAAACTCATAGGATTTGAAGTGTTTTGAATTTTTATATGTTTCTAAGAGATTCAGTCATATCCCAACTGTGTAACTTATGATTCAATAAACTCTTTTGAAAAAAAAAAATAAATAAATAAGCAGAAAGAGAGAAGAATACCTTCGCAGCCATGGAGGAGGACAAAATATCCCAACTGCCAATACCTGTACTTCACCACATTCTCTGTTTCCTCTCCCAGAGAGAAGCTGTCCGAACTTGTGTACTCTCCAAACAATGGCGCTACATAGGATCTACCCGCCCTAACCTCGACTTCTCCGAAGAACGGTTCAACGACACACAAGCAAAGTCTGTCTCCATCAACTGCTCCTCCATAATGCACCACATTCTCTATCTCCTCTGCAGACCATGGCGCCATAGAGGATCAACTCTCCCCAACCTCAACTCTTCCGGAAGTACAGAACAAAGCTTTTTCTCGGTAGTCGACCGAACCCTACAAGGATATCTTGATCGAAACCTCTCCATACACAAACTACGTCTCGACTTTTCGAGGCCCGACTCACCACCGGCTGTCGCCCTTCTTGACAAATGAATCCCGATGATAGCCGCCCTCAACATAAAAGCCTTCAAACTCAACTCTCTTTCATATACTCCGGCGTATTACGACCTGCCCTCGGTAGTCTTCTTAGCCGAGTCCCTCGAAGAACTACACCTGTGCCGATGCAGGGTGAGCCCGGTCGAGAGCGTTCGGTTCGAATGTCTTCGCAAACTCACCCTCGAACAGGTCCAAGTTGATGACCGCACTTTCGAGACGATAATGTTTGGGTGCCCTTTGCTCAGGACCCTGGTCCTTAAGAGTTGTTGGAAGTTGAGAAACGTTAGGCTGAGCAAGGCGGCATCGCCTGGGCTCAAGCACTTTGAATTGGATAATTTCGAGTGGACCGAAGGGCATAGCATTGAAATTGATGTCCCGAATATCGATAGGGTCTGTATCTCGGGCCCATGGTTTTGGTCTCACCGCCAAGGCACATTCTTGTTCACTCGTCTCTCACAAGTTTGAGTCTCTGATGTGATCCTATCGAGCAAGTCGTTCGACTTGTAATCGTTCAGCTGCCCGACTCTTGAGAGTTTGACCCTAAATAATTGCTCCGGTTTCGAGGAATTCCATCTTGAAATGATTCAGTCAAGTACTTGCACATCTGGACCAGAGAAAGATTGCCTAAAGGAGTTACGATTTGTGCCCCCAACATTCTCAATTTTGTGTTCATTGCCCTTATTCCCCAGGTGCCCAACAATACATTCTCTTTCACGACCACTACTTCCAAGGAGTGGTCCTCACAAGTATTCCTCTCTTCTTCACGTGAGTAAGATCCCGATTTTGACGTCACTTCATGGTTCTTTAAGCTGAGACGATTGCTCAAGGCACTAAGTGGGTCTTGGATTTCTCTGTCTCTGCGGATGAACGGCGGCCCTCAGAACATGCCCTGCAGTTGTAGTGCTGCTGTCAGTAACGAGCCGCCTGTGGTGATGCGGGTCTTGGATTTTACTACTTGTAAATGTCGCACGGTGTCTTGGTACTCGGGCTTTACGAATGGCTGGTTTCGTGTTTGTCGACCAAGTCATGTATTGGGTTGTAGGCTCGTGAGTGAGTCAGCCAGGAACTACAAGCTCTCTGAGTTTCAGTTCAACATCTTGCTTGCAAACATGAGCCCCGGGACCGAGGCCTACTTTTGGCGGCACGATCTGGAGCATGTGCACGTGAACACTTTTGATGGGCAACTCGTTCAGTGGCCAGACCTTTCAGAATTGCAAAACAGGACGTATGACGAGATAATATGCCTTAAGTTGAAATGGAGAGGTCAGACGACGACATAAGTACTGCAAACTCTCGACGCACTAATGCTTTTATCGAAACATAATGTATCCTGTTTTCTTTCTCTCCAGTTGAAGGCCTAGGCCTATTTTGTGTGCTGTGAAAGTGTTATTAAGTCAGATCAGGCCTCTGGTCAAGTGTTTGATATCAGAACAGGTTGCAGAAAAAGAACAATGTAATAATAAGAACAAAATTGCTGCACATATATAAATAGATTCACAAATTGAACAAGTGAAATATACAGATGGGTTTAAATTTTTTCTTTGAAATGTGTTAATTTGCATATAATGAGTTTCACATATATTCACAGTTTTGATACCAACTAGTTTTTAACCCGTGCATTTGCACGGAAAGCATTATAATAGAACAAAAAATAATAAAAGGATATAAACAATAGTAAAAAACATAACATAATCACTGAAAAAATGTTCTAAAAAAGAATAATTAAATATTGTTAAACAATTCTTTATATACAAAGTTTGTGATTTTTCTATCAATTGAATCTCCATCACTACAAATCACTATCTTCAAATTAAGACATATAATGGTTTTATTTTTTAAAATAATTATTTTATTTTGTACTATAGATCATATAGGAAATTTGAAAAAAAAAATACTATAAAAATACCAGCAAAATATTACAAAATAAATAATTGTATTTGGTTGATAAATAATGATATGTGCCAAATATTTAAGACATTTGAACAAAATGACAATTTTTGGGCGGTTGAATGAAAAAAAAAAACCCAAATTAGAAGTCCACTTAATTTTTTAGGGTAGCCAAAATCAAATATAAAACAGGTCAATGATAACATGACTATAAATAGAGATAAACTCCTTGAGTGATGTAAGCTAATTTTTTTGTTTGATGTCGGCGCTTCTTTCGTTATTCACTTTGTCTGAAACTCTAATCCTTAACCCGATCTTACGACAAACTCGGCGAGATTCAATACAAAATAAATATTTTAACGGAGATTTTCCCCAAAAGTAAAGGCTTAAAAAATAAAAAAAAAAAATCCGAAAAATGTTGTTTTTGTGGCCAAAAGTAGTGATCGAAAAATAAATATTCGTCCCGATTTCTTAATCTTTGTTGCTAAATCTTAACAGGTCGGTCAAAATCGGGCGATAATATTACAAATCTATGAAGAGCTGAAATATTTTTTTGTTAAACATAGTTTTTATTTTTTATTATTTTTAATGATCTTTGTCGTTTTTCGAAATTCTTTTTGAATAAACTTCAAAAATATATCATATTTTATACATAATTCGAAATTATCTAGATGTTTTTCAAAATTGTTTTTTGAAGAGAACATGACATTGATCGAACATTTTCAAACTTTTATGTATTTTGTTCAGATTTGAAAAATAGGTAAGTTTCTAACAGATATGTTGAGCTCTACTAACAAATATATAGATAAGTTTATAACATATATGTTCATATATGTTTATAACATACATATGTAACTTTTATGTATTTTGTTCAGATTTTGAACACTAAATAGTTCAATTCTTTCTCATCTTTATCATCATATCAGTAAGTGAAGCTTTGCTTAACACTTGTTCAAAATCACTTTTCGAAGTTGTTCAAAGTCTTTTGCCGAAGTTTTTCAAAGTTTTTAGTATTTTGTTCAAAATTTAGAAATATTAGGTACGTTTATAACAAATCTGTTTACATATATTTATTGCATATTAGAAATTTATTGTTTAATGTTTAAAAGAATCTGTAGGGATTTTTATTTTTAAAACTTTTACGCAAAAAATCGATTTTAATATAAAAGCAGATGTCTTGGTAAAAGTTGAATGCGTTGATAATGATAGGAAAATCAAATTATTTTTCTTTCTATATTGTATAGTGTCCAATAATGTTCCACATAATTTGTTGTGTTTTTAATTTTGATTTTTTTTTTTTCATATAGATTTGACTTTTTTTTTTGTTGATTATTAATTATGTTTGATGTTTCTATATTATATAACAATATGCCATTACATATAATGCCTTGTCAATCCTCATTCTTTGACTTTGCCAATTTCCGTTTAATATGACTTTTCTGTTGCTGAAAGTATGGTTTTAATGCCTTAAAATATTGATGCTTTGAATATGTTTTGATGTTATAATCATGCAGAAATTTGTCCCGCCACTTTTTTCTTAAAGAGGAATTGTTTAATGAAAATTAATCATATTTATATTTATAATTGTGAAATAATATTTTTTTTCACGGCTAACAGTTTTTTTTTAATGAAAAATATGAGACAATTTATTCCGCACACTTTTTAATTTATAAAACAGAATATTGATTGCGATAATCAAATCTGCAGAATTCAGGCATTTTGTTGAATAATAGTAATATAAAATATTTTATTATTACTACCAAATGGAAAGTCAAAGATAGTTAATTTTGCACTATTAATTATGATCATATGACTTTTTATACATATGTTTTTTCAATGAACTTTTTAAATGATAATATTGACAATATAGACTTTGCTATAATAATTATATATACTGTTAATTTATTTATTTACTTTATAACTTTTTTTTTATTTCATCTTATTATGCGTATAGTCTAACTTTATAAATTATATGTCATTTAAATGTATCTATACTACTAATTTATAAGGTTTTACCATTTGGAGGAGCTAAATTTTTATTTTAATTATGAAACTAATCTTTCTTATCATTTTGCAGCTATATGTTTGATGGAGTATGGCTAAAAATTAAATTACAAAAAAAATAATTTCATTTTTTATATTGTAATGTAACATGATCTGTATTATAATGTTTGTATTTATTACATTTATTAATATTTTTTTTAACTTTAATTACTTATTCAATTCATAATGGAATAAAAAATAATAATATATAGTTTCTGCAC